CCATCTTGATTATTAATGAAATTCTCTGGGGTTTGAAGGAACTTTTATGATGAAATGGTCTTGTTTGACATTCCGTGCTATTCCATTCCTTCTCTGGTCCTCGATCAGCCACTGGTGATTCAGATGGCTCCAGAGTGGGTTGGGTTCTGACATTCCTTAGGATCCAGTACAGGAGGGAGAGAGAAACAAGTAATTTCTGAAGCAATTTAATTCTGCATGACAGGAAGAGTGAGGGAAGTTGGACTCAATTCCGCCTTTGTTGTCGCAAGTATGGCATCCCAGCCCGCCAGACAGAGGAGGCTATGCGGACTGATTGGTCATTTGATCGAAGTGAATGATTCCCAGGTCTGTCTGAAGTCAGTCAAGCAGATGGCTGTGTCTGTGGTTTCACGATGAGCTTGGTGAAAGAGATCAATGAAATTTTCAGGAGATTGTAAAGGGAGTCTAGTTTTGCATTTATCTGCTGGTGATTGTCACAAGATACGAATTGTTAAAACATCCCTAAATGCACATGGACACTAACCTGTCGAGTGTTGGCCTCTGTCCATCCCATCGGCTTGGCCCCCTGAGCGGTGACAGGGCAGAGAGTCCAGCAGCAGCTGCGCACTGCTTGGAATGCAGTGTCCCTTCACCCGGGGGTCAGATCCTGAGGATCCCGCCTGGGCTCTGTCGCCGACACTTGATTCAAGATGAACTGACTCACGTCAGTGACACGCTTAGTCCAGGTTTGGAAACAGACCTTGGTCAGACGTCTGTCTTCAATTCTGCTTGCACTGCCCCCCAACTGCCCCCAGGGCTGAGGACGAGGAGCGAGGGAGTAGGGGTTTGGTTTACTCCCTGTTGTTCAAGTGGGGTACACGCATCAGTGCAAGTGTCAACTATGTACAAATACAGACAAGAAGAGCATTGTGGTACCACTGTCGCATCTTGAGGTTTTTCCTTCTGATCGTCTCCCCTTGCACTTGCTTTGTGTAATTGTGACCATACAGTCTTGCTTCTTAATCTCATAAAGCAAGCATTTTCCCGTGTTACTAACGTATTCATAAACAACAGTTTAGTAGCTTGTAGTTATTCGTTGTGGTTGTTCCACAATTACCTAATCATTTCTCTCTCGGTCACCTATGTACTTTCTGACTTGTCACCGTTGTAAATAAAACACTGCGTATCTTGTTTCCCCGTTCTTTGTTTCCAGTTTAGAATTGATTCCTGGAAGTAGACTTGCTGAGGAAAGGATACAGATGTTTTCTGACCTTCATAAAACTGTCCTTTCCAGAACGCTTGTGCCAGCTCACACTCCCAACGTGTCATCTGTGAGGGCCACAGATATACTCTAAAGCAACCTTCTGTTCACCGGGAGCTGACCTGGAGCGTCACTGAATAGTGTGGCCCGGCAGTCTATTTGGGTTTTCTCTTCGTGTGTGCGAACTCGTCATTCGCAGCAGGGAGACAAGCACAGCTCCAGTTTACACCCCTCCCTGGAAGGCGTGTGCGTGCTACACGGCCTGGCCCTCTGCTCTCCTCGCCTCTGCTATTTTTAGTGTAGCAAAGGCGCTCCCTGGCCCTGCCAGCACTGCACCTAGGACTATGTGTGAATTTAAAAGCTGAAATCTAGGCCTGAACAGGTTTGTTTTTGATGTTGAACAGATTGATGTTTGTGTAGTGAAGAACTTGGCTTTGTCCAAAGAGAAGGTCTGGCCCTTGCCCTCAGCTTCTGGGAGGTAACTATGTCGTACCTGGTAGGAGTGTCTCTGTTTAGGGCGAGTACCAGCCACCCCTAATGGTCTTAGGATGTGGGTTCGTGCCACTAGAAAGAACAACCACGTGATTTAGGGTGGGGGCTTTGAGTGTGGGATCAGTCCACACGAGGCTGAGATCAAGCAGCCAGTCAGCCAGCCCAGCCTCCATGGTGGACACCAAGGCCCCAGGGGCTCCCTGGTTGGCAGAGCTCCGTGCATGTTGTCACACATGATGCCCAGAGGGGACTGCATCCTGACTCCATGAGGAGAGGACATGGAAGTCCCACATTTGGTACTTTTCCTGGACTCTGCCCCCTGAGTCCCTCTCTAGACTAGTTTGAACCTCTGTTTCTCTGTAATAAACCGTGACTGTGAATCTAACAGCTTTCACTGTGTTCTGCGAGTCCGTCTAGTGAATTATCAAAACTGAGAGTGGTTTGGGGAGCCCCAAACTTGCAGTTGGTGTCAGAGGTGAGGGCATTCTCGGGGACTATACCCTCTAACCTTGCAGTTTGGCTAACTCCAAGTATATTTTAAAAAGAGAGCTTGTGACAGATATTGAAGATAAGCATTTTCTCTAGTCCTCATTCTTCCCACACTTTAGCCATTGGTGTGTGTGCTGATCCTAGAGAACACGGGTCTTCAGATGTGCTGTGTTCTCCATCCAGACTGCTTTGATGGGAGGGCAGGCAGCACTTAGAAGGTGCAGTGTTTTTGCTGAATGTTGTTGTTGACGAGCTTGTAACTCATTTGTTAAAGAAGGTTTCAGTGCATGCATTGCTCATCTCCAGTAGGTCCTGAGACACAAGCTATTGTCCACCCTCGGGCCCTGTCGATGCTCCCCCACCCCGTTGTTTCCCAGTGATGTTTTCCTTTCGGGCCAGCAGGCACTAGAGGGCCGAGAATGAGAACTCTGGTCAAATGCCTTCCCAGGCTGTTTGTTTGCATTTTGTAAAGAAATGTGTTCTCCTGGGAGGGATACCCACCCTCAGCTAGCCAGCGCAGGGCAAAGCTCTGATGCAGATTGTTAGCAAGCAGGGTCTTTGTGCTGTTCAGGGGTCCATGTTCTCCTGTTAGCGAGCAGGAGTCTTTGCTCTGCTGTGCTGTTCAGGGGTCCGTGCTCTCCTGTTAGCGAGCAGGGGTCTTTGCTCTGCTGTGCTGCTCAGGGGTCCGTGCTCTCCTGTTAGCGAGCGGGGGTCTTTGCTCTGCTGTGCTGCTCAGGGGTCCGTGCTCTCCTGTTAGCGAGCGGGGGTCTTTGCTCTGCTGTGCTGTTCGTGGGTCCGTGCTCTCCTGTTAGCGAGTGGGGGTCTTTGCTCTGCTGTGCTGCTCAGGGGTCCGTGCTCTCCTGTTAGCGAGCGGGGGTCTTTGCTCTGCTGTGCTGTTCAGGGGTCCGTGCTCTCCTGTTAGCGAGTGGGGGTCTTTGCTCTGCTGTGCTGCTCAGGGGTCCGTGCTCTCCTGTTAGCGAGCGGGGGCCTTTGCTCTGCTGTGCTGCTCAGGGGTCCGTGCTCTCCTGTTAGCGAGCGGGGGTCTTTGCTCTGCTGTGCTGTTCATGGGTCCGTGCTCTCCTGTTAGCGAGTGGGGGTCTTTGCTCTGCTGTGCTGCTCAGGGGTCCGTGCTCTCCTGTTAGCGAGCGGGGGTCTTTGCTCTGCTGTGCTGCTCAGGGGTCCGTGCTCTCCTGTTAGCAAGCGGGGATCTTTGCTCTGTGCTGCTCAGGGGCCCGTGCTCTCCTTTCTGGAGAGTGTCAGGTGCAGAAGGGAGCAGTCCTACAGGTGAGGAAGACAGTTCTGCTGTCCTTGTGCTGAGTGTTCACCTGAGACCTCAACTGCTTTTACGTGGTGGGAATCCTTAAAGAGCCCAACACACAGAGCCAATTAAAATTGCGTTTTAAATCAGCCATGCCATGGTCAATAACTTGACCGTGTTTGTAAACCTTTCAGTTCGGATAGACTAGTCTCCCCTGTAGAGGTGAAATTTTTTTCTTATTTCGGAAATTTTTTTTTTGAGACTTCTGACATTTGTTGATCAACAGTGCTATTTTCAAGTACTTAACTAATTCTTTGTCTCCTATTTTTCTGGTCCTGTCACTAAGCCTACTTGAGGAGATAAGGAGAGTTTTTTATTCCTGAAGGAGAAGGCGTCAGGGGCAGGAAGGAGCTTGTGTGTTGCAGAGTCGTCCTAGGCAGTGAGCTCGGTTCCCCGTGCCTGCCTGAGGCCCGGTCTCTCTGAATATTAGTCATGCGAAGACAGTGCCATCAAATGGATTACTATAATGGGAGTTATTAATCTGTTAAATCTTATAAATAGCAGGAATCACACTCTAGTCTCTGAACCAAATTACTGTGAACATTTTCCTGTGGGGAGAAAAAAAGAGTTTTCTGTCAGATATAATTAAACTTGGTACATGGCGGGGACAGTGCAGCTTGTACAGCGACAGAGACGAGCCCACAGCTCAGGGCTCTGCACCTGCTGCCCCTCCGCCGGCTTTCTGCCTGCACTCTCCACACGCCTGCTCCCTAGCTCCTCAAATGCTGGCCTCTGCTGCACCCTTATCTTCTCAGACAGGCTTTTCTCAGCTGCCCTCATAATACACCATCCTCAACCTGCCCCACCCCGTTCTCTGCATCATTGGCCACCACGTCACCTGTTACGTAGGTGTTTGTCCTTCCCTCCAGACCGTCAGCTCCATGAGAGCAGGGCCTTCACAGATCCTGACGACCACTGCACTGTGGTGCCTGACTATGAGGCTCAAAATAGTTGTTGAATGAGTGGAGGGTAAGTCAACCTTAGAGGACAGCCTTCCTTCCTCGGCTCTTGGGTTCAAAGTCCACTTCCGCAGGCGGGAGCCACAGGGACGAGGCTGAGATGAAGAATCGTAGAATGTGGTGCCAACTCCTAGGTAGCAAGTGCCACCGGCCGCTCTTTGGGCGCAGTCCATGGCCCATCTCCCGGATGTGGAAACTATGAAATGGTGTGTGTTACCACTGGTTCTGGTCCACACGTCTAGGGGCACCCAAAGAAACTGCTTTTGTGTAGGTGTGGAAGGGGAAGAAAGTGGAAAATGGAGGTTGAGTCTTAAGATGTGGGATTAGAAGTATAAGAGTCTTGAAAATCACAGGCAAGGCCAGGGGGTTCTCCTGGTGTAGCCGAGCGTCTCCTGCCTCTGGCCTGAAGCTTTTTGTCTCCCTCGCCTCTTTTCTTCCCACCCTCTCCTCCCTCTGTCCCCTATTTCAGTGGTCACTGATGCAAACACACTGTGTTTCCTAGGATTCCTGGCCGGCTGAATGACAGGAGGACTCCTTTGGGCGAGCTGAATTGGATCTTCACAGCGATCACGGACACCATTGCGTGGAATGTGCTCCCTCGGGGTGAGGCTGCCTGGGCTGGTCAGCTTGGGCCCGGTGGGGCTGCTGCCTTGAGAGTCAGGAGACACTGGCCCTTGGCCGCAGGGGGGTCAGATGGAAGAAATGAGTTCTCAGGGAGGAAAGCTGAGGGGGATGAGGAGAGGCAAGAACGTAAGGAGGTGTCTTCAGGATGAAGTAAATTACCGTGTGTCAGCGCTAAGCAGTGGTGTACCGTGAGCTCCAGACACGCTCTGGTCGTCAGGACATTACTCTCTAGGCACATTCAGAGCTTACCCTTCCTCATGATCATTGGCACTGTCCATATTTCTTAAAACCAGAGTTACTATTAGAAGACTTGTTTTTATTTTTTTGGTATTGATGAGTTGGGTTTTGGTATTTGTTCATATTTATGTATGTGTATATTGCATTGGGAAATGTGCATTCTAGTCCCAACTTGCTTGTAAAAATTTTTGATGGAAGTAAATTTGTGTATTTGGGTTTAAATGCTAGACATGAGTCACTGAAGATATGTTTTTTTTCTTTTATCTGCCCTCAGATCTCTTCCAAAAGCTCTTCAGACAGGACCTGTTGGTGGCTAGTCTGTTCCGAAATTTTTTGCTGGCAGAGAGGATCATGAGGTCATATAGCTGCACCCCCGTCAGCAGCCCGCGCCTGCCCCCCACGTACATGCACGCGATGTGGTAAGTGTCTCACCGCCGGACAGCGCCAGGCTGACAGTTAAGTTCTCTAAACAGTACGGTTTTTTTCCATTTCTACGGTAGTGCAAGTTTAATGGAATTACATGAAGCAAAATAGGAAGACTTGCCACTACTTGGAGACGTGAGTGGTGTTGACACGTAAATAAAACCCTCCCTACAGCCTCCACAGACGGCAGACCCGGTCTCCTTCAGAAGCACGGGGGCCTCGGAGGGTCCTCCCAGCCCGAGCGGGCCAGCACCGCCGGAGGCCTGACAGTTCTGTAGCTCGGGGCAGCAGAGGGCTCGCAGACGTGTTTCTGACTCTGTGGAGACTAGTATTGAGAAAAGAAACTGCCAGCTGAGTTTATGAAGTGTGTCCAAGACTGCTCCAGAGAATTTAAACCCTTGGGTTCATGACCAGTTAATTTATATGCTTGTTTCACACATGCACACACATGGACACACACACATGCACATGCACACGAGTGTGATCTTTTATTACTGTTGATCACAATTTTCCCCCAAAACTGGATCACTGCTCCTTATACTACTACAAATAACAGTAACAGTAATAACAACGTAAACTGTCTTTAATCCAGATGTCACGTCCGGAGGCGTCTGGCTTCTTCTTGTTTCCTTGCTTTTGTAATGCAGAGTTTAAGTACTAAAATGGGACGATAACAAGGAAAAATTAGTCTTAGTTACATCAATCAGTGGGAGAAACCCTAATACAAATATTTAAAAAGAGCAATTCACTTATGTTTAGCCTTAAAAGCCATTTTATGGTGCATTTTCGTGGTCAGGTCTGTTTCAGCTAGTGATTTTGTTACTCTGGCCCCTGGCCGCCTCCCGTAAGACGCTAACCACAACCCTGCTCAGAATAAGCACAACAATTTTTTTTAAAATATATGTATGACCACTTCTCCCTGACCCTGGAAACCCAGAGAGCCAAGGAGGAGTCTGTAAACTCACTGCCTCTCATCTACTCCAGGAAAATCGGGAGCTAACATTCTCATCTGTGAGACAAATCAAGATGCACTGGCCTGGCCAGAGCGCCAGGCCGCAAACAGAAAGGGTTAAACTGTGCATCATCCGTGTCCTTTGTGGGAGTTTGTAGAGTGAGATGGAGAACACTGATCCGGAGGAACACGGAAGTGGATTAGACCCTACAGAAGAATCAACGACGCGGCCGTTTGCTCCTGTGGAGACAGTGGCTGGCACAGCACCTCCCACTCCACCCCTCCAGACACGAGAGCAGGAAGAGAGAGGGTTGTTTGACAAGTTTCTGTGATGCGTAGAATGGAGACCCATGCTTCTGGAAGAGTAGATCCTCAAAACTGCCTTATTCCCTTAGGGAAAGCAATGCCTTAAATCCTGTCTATTCTGAACCCGGGTTTTATAAAGTACCTATTATAGAAAAGGAAAGGAAAAAGAGCTGCCCAGGGCCAGTGCCGCGTCTGGTCGTGGGTGAAAACCATGTGTGAGTAGGAGCTGGCCTCCACAGCAGCCGCCCAGTGTGAGGGCCGCTGGACCAAGCAGGTTCCCCCGGGGAGGAAACCGGCAGTGGACTCGAGGCGCGCTGCGAGCGAGAAATGGCCTGCGTCCTCCTCTCCCCGCCCACCTGATCCCCCAGCAATGAGTCCGCCGAAACAGTTTTATTTTTCGTGCACGTTTCTCTGGATGTGAAAATGCTTCCTATAAGAAATGCTCAGCTGCTGCACTGGAGGAGATAGTAAAGGCCAGAGCCGGTCGGAGAGCAAAGAGGACAGACAGGGCAGATGAATGGCAGGAGAAAGGGACCCAGGGAAGGAAGCAAGTAGAGACGGGGGCACCTGTCTCTTTTCATCAGCCTAGGGATCTTTCTCTAATATTGGCCTCTCAGAAGGTCTGGAAGTCTGGAATTTGTATAAGTACTGTTTCATATAAGGCCCAAAGTAACAGCAGCATCTCATAAACCCACCCATCTCTGTTAGTGATACCCTTCCAAGCCAGCCTCGAAGCCTAGGAGCGTGGCCCTCTCTCCTGCAGATTAGCTCCCCGTGAATCTCATAAAGCACATCCTCGTTTGTATTTACTTGTTGTGCAGAGAAACACGAGATAACACAGCCCTCCACAAGGCCCAGACGGACATGGAGAAAGCCTGGTGGGTATTCGAGGCTCGTGGAAGTGCTAGTGATTATACATGTACATTTAGGTTTTTCTACTTTCCTGGTTCCGACCCCCCCTGGGCACTTCAGGGCTCCTCTGTGGCTAATAAGCACCCTGAAGACTTGAGTATAATCTGGTCCCTCAGCCTTCGTGGTGGCCCGTCCTGCAGAGTGCTGTCTGTGGCCTGATATTCTCCCTGCTCCCTTATAGGTGAATTCTGCTTGCTGCAGCTTATGTTCCATGGAAAGCAGACTCGGAGACGGAGGTTAGCAGTACGATGCTGTTAGAGAGGGCTCCTGGGATCACGCCCATGGACGGGGAGGTGGCAGGACTGGGCAGAGAGGAAAGTCGAGCGGTGATGCGGTCTCAGCCGACCCTCGGGGGTTCTGAGGCTGGGTGGGTGACCCTTCAAAAGTGTCCTTGTTGATGTGAGAGGGCGAGGCTGTTAACCTCCCTCAGCAAGCGGTCATCGATGCAGGCCACCCAGGGAGGGGGCAAGGAAACCTTTCTTCTGAAGGCGGACCCAGCCCCAGCACACTGGTCAGCTTCTCACTGTAAGAGAGACTCTCACCTGCCTTGTCCCAGGTTTCCGTTATCCCATTACTGTCATTTCAACAAGTCTTGCAGAGATTTGAAAGCACAGAACAGAATTTCTCTCCTCTCGAGTGTCCAGCATTCTGGCTCGCATCCAACTTATTTCCAAGAAACACGTTACCTATCCTAATCCAAAAAGAGATTGTCTTTGCAGTTGGTTTTGCAGAGCTCGTCACCAGCCCCTGCTGAGGGGCATTGTGAGCGCAGAATGGACTAGAGCAAAGTGGCCAGCAGCTCCCTGCCAGCAGGACAAGTGAAAGCCCAGTGCTGCCCGCGCCCTAGGGCTGCAGATCACCCTGTGTTCAGTGCAAGTGCGCTTTGTTAATACGAGCGAGACCTCAGGCATCAGATCGTAACCCACCGTTCCCAGTGCTCCCAGGCTGTGTTGAAAGATGCTGCCCTGCTGCCCTGTAATTGTCCCAAAAAAGGAGTCCTTCTCAGCAGAAAAGGGGGAGGAAATAGAGATACGCCCCCACTCGCGGCCCTTCCTCCTCCACGCTCCTGAACTTGTTTTGTTGTGCCTTATGGTTTTTTCACATTAGTAGTATGATTTTTTCATGGTAGTTTGATAGACGTTTCAGAGGCCTTGCAGGCTGGAGAGCCGAGGAGCCGGGAAGCGCCCCTCCTGTGCATGGACTGGCCGGGGCCGGGGGGACGGAGGGGGTGGGGAGGGCTTTACCTCCACATAGCTGAAAGAACATTATATGCTTTGGATTTTTTTTTTCTTTTTTGAACCCAAACCTGAAGTGTACCATTCTGGCAATTCACATGACAATGAAGAAACCGTTGTGTTGATCCTTCAGCCTTATAAGAAGGAGTAGTTAAGATGGCAGTGACTCACCCTGAACCTGAGCTGAGGAAAAGAGTGGTGAATTTGAGAGCCCAGGGAAACATGTGCTGAAAGGAAAAGCAAAGTAGCTTATAAATTAAATACACATGGTAAGACAATCTGTTGGCTTTTTTTCTGACGGATGTATTACTCTATTTAGTAATAAGGAATCCCTCCAAGTATTGCTAAGTGGAAAACAGAAGTTCTGCAGTCTGGAAAGAATTAAGGACTGTGTTGGTTATCTCTTGCTGAATAACAATAGTAAGCACAAATTTAGTGGCTCCAAACACACACAGTTATGATGTCGTGGATTTTGTGGGGCAGGGTCTGGGCATGGCTCATCTGGGTCCTCTGCTAAGGGTCTCTGTTGATGATCACGGACAGCCATCACCTCTCTGAATTCTGTTATTAGCAGTAAGTCACAAGTCCCGCCCACACCCCAGGGGAGGGGCTCACCTAGGAAGCAGGTGTCCTGGGGGCCACTGTTAGTCTCCATCATAAGCAGCATCTTGCCCTAAAGTGTTCGTTAACTGTGCTGGAGGCAGACAGACAGAAGGGCAGTGGGGAAATGCAGTGCAGAGGGCTTGCTGGGGGTGAGAAGAAAGTAGAGCCTGGAAAGGTGATTTGCTGTGGTCTTTACTAAGGCAAAGACATTATCTTTGGAAACAGGCAAGTCGTGGTAAGTGATCAGAAGTGGTAAATATAAAAATAATAGCGCCAGTGGCTGACTGGTTAGGTCCCTGCTGTGTCAGGCGTGTTCTAAATGCTTCACGTGCATTAAGTCATTTGCCCTCACAACAGCGCTGTGACAAGAGTATCATTATTATTAATAGCCCATTTTACAGTTGAGGAAGTGAGGCACTGAAAGGTGAGTGAGTAGCCCGCATGGCAGGGCTGGGCTAGTCTCACCCCGGATTGCTCCCTGCTGGTACACCGGTACATGCGTGTGCGTGTACATGAGCTCCTAGACTTGAGTGAACATGTAGACACATCCCAGGACAGGAGGGCACCCACACAGACATGGCGTCTGGCAGGGGCACATGTAGCTAGTCTGGCCTCTCTTATTACAAGTGGCCGATGTGGTGTACAGCATCTCTGACACCTGTCACGAAGCTTTGCAGCATCTGGGAATGCATCTAATCAGACACTGTGAGCAGGGGGTGGCACTGCCCCCTGCCAGGCGAGGCAGGGTGACATGGGTTCTGAATCCCTGCGGCAGTTCGTGTGCCTTGCACCCATGTTTAAATCAGCCACGCCCCACTTATGGGGACAGAGCCTTGGGTCTCTCCCTCTAGCTGGACACTGGAAGTGGCAGGGCATAGCAGGCCCTCTTCTGGAATCTGGTTCGTCTTGGTGTATCCTCTCCACGAATGCCGTGCCTTGAAACCGCCTGACTCTGGACCTCTGCCCCCAGTTGTGACCCTGCTGGCTT